GAAAAATACATTATTTCTGCATCTATATATTCAAATATTGATTGTTTGAATTATGAAAAAAAAATTAACTTTGATTTTAAAGCAATATTCTTATGAATATATAACAAATATGGCATATTTTATTAATAAATTTACATTTATTAGTTATAAAAATATCCCCTGTGGGTGACTCAACCCCTATTCTAAGTACTATGATTTGTTCAATTACCATAAAGTTCCTCTCAAATATGAGACGTTAATGCATTAAAGAATAGTAATTTTATTTTAGTAAGAAATGTTTACATAATTTCACTGTTTACATTCTTAAATAAAAAAGGGTCAACTATAAGTTCAGTTTATTTAAGTATTTATGTATTTAAATATTTTAAAGAAAGGTCATTAATTTTATATTCATTTACAAAATTTATTATGGTGATTGTTTCTATCCAAAGATTTGATTTATAAAATATATTTACTGGTCTAAATCAATTGTCAATTTTGTAACATCTCTTTTTTGTTATACATTCCGTTAACCATACTATTAATAAAAAAAGTTTAATAAATTACAGTTTGAAGAGATTCCACTCAAAAGTTTGTTGCATTAAAATTCATCTTGATACCAATTGAATAACTAACTAGAGGTAACTGAATTAACTTAAATTACTTACTTTTTGAAACTTTCAGTCTCCATCCTAACAACATTTTGGCCGTTGTTTTCTTTTAACGATACGTTAATATAGAAGCACAACCCCTATGAAGGCACAATTTTCAATTTTAGGAACAGTAGCGAAGTAATAAGCAATATCGGTATAAACGGTAGTACCTAAGTAATATTACTAACTTATTACTTAGCACTCGATCATACCTTTCAATAGGTACACGATTTCGAACTTAAGCTCTGCATGGTCACGGCGGAGTATATATAAACAAGCAGGTGGGGTCAGGTGGTACAGATGTTTTATCGGATATAGCAGTAGGGTTATGTTTACGTTACAGATAATAGAATAACGTAAAAATTTTCCCACTACGTGCTGCATTGTTGAGAAATCATTGTACGGTATGCTTGACTGAGAATTGTTAAAGAGACGCCGCAATAAACAGATGCAATTTAATTTTTAAAAGTAAAAGTAGGTAAATACCTACCTATTGTTATGCATATTTGTACAGGGCTGAAGCCTGCAAAAAAAAAGAAATTTAAAATAACACATTATCTTAAATATGTAAAGGTGATATTGAGGTGCATTGAAAATTACATAATTTTATAGCAAACAACTTTGTACCAAAAATAAAAATTCTTCAATCATCAATAAACTATGTGTACCTATACAAGAAGACTCAGGAAATGGTATGTAGTAAAGTACCTATGTTAGTTGAGTTTGGAGATTTTTAATGTTTTGGATCGCTTCCGCTAAGGAAATTTTAATCGAAGGGCTAATTAGTTGCATTAGAAACAAAAACAGGAGTTAACAGGAGTAGAGGTAGATCTAGATTAAAGTTCACAAATAGTTAAGGATGTCGGATATTCTAGTTTTAGGGAAATGAGAAGATTAGCTCAGGATAAAGAAAAGTGGTGGTGAATTTTCAATTGTTTTTAGGACTGACGACCTTATGATGATAATGATGTGGAATGTTGGCGCATAAAGGAAGTAGTTATCAACCATTTTTTCAAATTATAGGCAATTCAAAAGTAATTATTCGAGAAATTTAAACTTCTGTGCGTCAATTAATTGGAAAGTTGATAATTAGCATAATCCACTTTTGAATGCCATTATATGCATTACATCCCTTTGACTCTTTCAAATGTATTGTGCAAAGGAAGCTGGTTCACTCCTGGTTTTATTATTATTATAGACCGAAAATCGGGGGCATAATTGCTCTATTCATAAGATGAAGAAGGCTAGGCTAGTTTTATGAACTACGTTTGTGAAGGTCGGTTTTTTTTTTTGACTGGTTCTACTGAATTAAATGTGTACTTTTATGCACGAACGGATTCTCCTTAGGAACGTCTACTAATGTTAATATGCTAGCAGTCTCTTCGAACTAGGCGGAAGGACCCCCTCGTCAGCTTCCTTTTAGAAATCGTGGGAGGTGGTTGAGCTGAGAGAGGCAAGATGGAGGCAGATGAGAATGAAAGGTTATCTATAGAATAAACTACAGATAAACTTCGACCAGGACGTACCGAACTGGAATCAAACCTGCGTCCTGCCGAATGCTAGGCAAAGGTCTAAACCTCTAGGCCATGCCACTCAGTTTTAGATGAACGTTCGTTTGCTTTATAAGTACATTGATAGATCAAAAGCAAGCATACGTTTGTTTGTATACTTCATTTACTTTCTTTAGCGATGTGGCCCTTCCAATGCCTTAGGGAGAAAAAAAATCATTATGCTCTCGACTGTTGTTCATTAAACATACTTTTTCATACAGTACCTGCCAAAAGTTTTTTTCAATCATCAATAGTAATGCGAGTCGAAAACAAGCGTTAAAGCCTTTAATATGTCTTCAAATATAAATAAACATCTCGTTGATATTTTCAGTAGTAAATGGTACCAATAACAGCACATTTGAGCAATGCAATTGTAGTGGATAAAATGGTAAATTTTTCCGTGCAGTACTGTATGGAATATACGTTCCTCACCGGTTAAGAGTTTGAGAGTTATCTCCTTCCTTTTCTGGCCTAGTGTCGTTCTTTTCTACTTTGCGCCGGTCAAATTGAAGGTCACATAGCTACAGAAAGTAAACGAAGTATACTATGCTGCCAGACGCAGTGGAAGACGTTTGTCTTTGGAACTCCGAGATGGCTTGACGAACGTTCAAAAACGTAGTGAAAACTAAAACACTTTTAGGTATTTTGTTCCAACCACTTACTAATATTATGTACTTACTATTTTGTGCAAAATTAACTTTGCTGACACTGTAACTGTAAATAATTAACTGTGCGGGATATGTATGTACATACATCTCAAAATTTTATTTAGTAAAACTGTTAAATGTTAGCAATGAAAGAAAATAAACGTTGGTTACTAACAATTTAGATTAAAATTAAAGATCCTTGAGTGAGTGAGTACCAATATAACTGTCAAAACGTTCAAGTTTCAATTATGAATGAAATATTTTATAAAAAAAATTGACTTAATTTTTAAGAGTGAATAGACTTTTAACTCAAGTTGGAGAACAAGATCGATTCAAGTTTCGAACTGAATAAATCAAGAATATGGAATTATTCATTTTTTAGATTGATTCTATTTTTTACAACCAATTCGTTTTTGTTTTTTCGATTGTTTTATCATTAGGTATTATTGGTTATCATCTGCGGAAGATGATAAGCAAACACTATTGAAAAATCGTTCAATTAAAAGTTTTTGTCAATCATGAATATGAAATTAAACTTTTTTTTCTTGCGGTGACGTAAACAGATTTGATGGATGCATTTAACTTAGCTATCTAGTCAGCTGCACAACGATTACGATTAGTGGTGCCACATTCAGATTGATAAAGAACGGCAACAGTCACTTGACTTATCTGAAAACGTTGCTAAGCACATGGCGTAATCTATTATAGTTCGCGTCAAGGAAGGGAAATCCTCGTTAAACAGACACTTGGATAAAACGAACAGGAAAAAAATGACTCTGAAGTTTTAAAAAAATGTGAATGTTTTGGATAGCTCTTGATGTCGCTTACTTTTCTGCTTTTGCTGACAATATTTATCAAACACCCTGTACATATACGTAGTTTTCTCGAAGAGTTGTAGGAATACATATTGGAAACAGAATGAAATTCCAATTGATATCATTTTTTTTTGTGTGTAGCACTGCAACCATGTAATTACTGTATATAGAATTGTCGCAGACATTTCTCTTGTAATTGTTTCTCATTATATTATAGAAAGTGGAAAATTAGCGCAGTTGTGATCCAGTTATAAAATGAATTACGGGATTGAGGTGCAGTAGAATCATTATCAATATCTTCTTTGGTAATAGTATCCTTCGCTAATAGATAGTAGGTATCTAAAAAACTGAACCTATTTAAACTTCCATCAGTCTCAATATTATGGAACCTAGCAAGGAGGAGTTAGAGATAGCTTTAAATAAAATGGAAGCGGTATTGACAAAGGAGTATTGTATGAAAGTTAATAAAAGTAAAACAAAAATACTGATATGCAAGGGAAGAAAAAGTAGAAAAAGAGCGAATGTAAAGATAGAAGAAGAAGAGAAGAGAAGAAGTGACTGATTTTAGGTATCCAGGAAATCAGATATGTTAGGACGGAAGAACTAGTAGGGATATAAAGCAGAGGATAGCGCAGGGTCGAGTCGCCTTTAATAAAAAGGAGTCACTTCTATGCTTGCGAACAATTAATTTAGAAATTCGAAAAAGATTGTTAAAAATGTATGTCTGTGTGCAGAACATGGACAGCGGGCGCGGCAGAAAAAAAAAGTTAGAAGCATTCGAAATGTGGTTACAGTCGAATGATAAGGATACTGTGCATAGAGAAGGTTAGAAATGAAGAGGCATTAGAAAGAGTAAGAGAACAGAGGACTATGGAAATCAATAAGAAATAGGCGAGAAACAGGAGTTAAGAGGAGTGGAGGTAGACCTATATTAGATTACTGTTAGCAAATTGTTAAAGATGGGGGATGTTCTAGTTTTAGGGAATTGGGAAGATTAAAAAATTCAAATGTTTGGATGAATTTTTGTGAACAACCCAACATTAAACAGGTTCTAATTAAGAAAAGTGTTGAAGTTTTTGATTTTGATAGTGTTATTACTTCTCACGCAATACTACGCCATCTTGGCACTATAACAATACAGTGAATATTTCCTTACTTGTATATAACGGTTAAGAACCCTGAGAAGAGACGGTACACATTATATATATATATATATATATATGTAATGTATACCGTTTGTAATATATAATTCGAATTAGCAATAAATAAAACCGTAGCGTAGCGGATCTCTTGTACAGGTTTTGTGATTTAGAGGATTTATGACGCGCTCATGTCGTATTGGCTTTTTCTATAATATTATAAAGTGCTTACCGGACTCTATTGATTTATAAAGATTGATATTAACATAAACATTAAGAAGACGCTGCATGATGCGATACCGTAATTAATTAAACATACGTTAAACTGTCACTTTAACGATTTTGCTTACTTCTGACTGTTCAAGTATTGTCATTATCACAAGGTCATCACGTCAGTCAGGTGATATGTTGGATATCAATCTTTACATCTTCATATCCTGCATCAATTTTTGCATTTCCCGATCCAATGTTAAATCTACTCTCTGACAGTATTTTGCTCCTGTTTCTGCTTGTAGTATGTTTTCAACTAGCCGTTCATGTGTTATGAAGAGTCCTGTTATCTTCGGTTCATCTACTCATTGGAATATTCGCTCATTTCTAAGCTTTTCTACTCATGTATTAATAAACATTTCGAATGTTTGTGATAATTTAATTTTCTGCTATACCTACCGTCCATGTTCCGCACTCTTACAGAGCTATGCTCTAAGCATGGCTGACACATATTTTCAAATTTCCAAATTAACCATTTGCGAGCATGGAAGTGACTTCTTATTGTTACTCCTATGCTGTTATTCTACTTGTTATTCTGACTTCCTAAATACCCATAATCGACCATATTTACGTTTTTGTCTTCAATTATATATTAGCAATTATGCGATTTCTTCAAAGTACAGATTATTTCAGCAAATGGCATCATCATCATCGTAAGGTAGTCAGTCCTAAGACCGGTTGGACACGTACCTCCACTCTTTCCTATCCTGAGCTAAACTTTTCGCATTTCCCTAAAACTAGAACAGCCCACATCCTTAACTATTTGCGAACAGTAATCTGGGTCTACCTCTACCCCTCCTGACTCCTGTTTCTGCCTCTAATATGTCTCTGACTAG